GTTATGTGGTAGAACATTTTGAGGTGTATAGTACAATAAAATGAGCTTTCTCTTTTTAGGTATAATAAATGCTGCTGGAGCCTTTTCTGGTACGGTTTGTTCACTTGACCATTTGTCCATTCAACCCATCCATTCATTCATTCAACCATTTATTAATTGCAGTCATCATTTATTGTAATTGTGATGTTTCAAAGCAGCACAACTCTTTCCAAGTTCAAGAATTGTCACTTTTTGCTAATCCATTCTGTTGTTTGCAGGCATTGTGCTAGTTCCATTATCAGGACATGTGTTAGCAAAAACTGAATCATGGCAATCAGTGTTCCATCTCAATGCAATCACACTTCTACTAGGATCATCAGTTTTCCTAGTGTTTGGTACAGCTAAAAAAATTATTTAATAAAATATATAGTCTTGACGGATAATTGGCATTGGTCCTTGGCATTCATAATGTTTTAGCTCAAACCAAAGTTCTAACCTAGACCCACATTATCTTTGAAAATAATACTTGTACGGAGCCGAACAGCGATTTTACTCTGGAACTGGGTATCGTTTTTAGCAATTTTACTCTGGAACAGGGTATCGATTTCAATGAATTTTCTCTGGAACAGGGTCAGGGTTTAATTCTGGAATTATTGATGCTGGATAAAAATTCACTGGTGTAGCTTGCGTGTAGACCGAATTTTTACCCAGTGAATAGTGATAGTACGATTTTACGGTTTGTGCCTTGTGTCTTACTTATTACATCTGACGTATAGATGTCCAAGTTCTTACAAATTGCTTGCAGTTAGACTATACTATAACTTTTTCAATACAACTGATATAAGTCAATGTATGCTTATGTTGCTTTCCGTGAAGGTTTTGACTAAGAACCTGTTTACATGTACATAGGGTGCCCCTAGTGGTAGGGCCAAAATCCTCCAGGGAAAAGAAAACAAAAGAGTTAGCCCTACCAGACGTAGGTATTTCATGTAAACAGGGTCTAAAAGGTATGATTATATGTCACTGCGTAGCACTAGAAAATACATAGAGGTAGTGTAAATATATAGTCAGCTTAGAAATGAGGTATTCTGGGCGAAAAAGTACCTTGGAAATAAATTCGCAAAAATTAATTGCCCAACTCACTTGGTGGGGGTGTGCCGCACGACCCTCAAAACCCTTACCCTGATGATCCCAGACCAATTTTTGTGATTTTACATACCTGATCGCAGACTAAAGGTACAAAAGTACTTGTACATTATTATTTTAGCGCTGAAAGCATGTGCCTAGCAGATACGATCATAGGCAAAACTCCACCCTACCCCAGACAATGAGACTATAGTCCCCTATCACAGACAAAAAACTAACCTTATCCCAGACAAAACTACTACCCTATCCTAGACAAAAAGACTACCCTATTCCTGGATAAATTGGCAAAAAATGATACCCTATCCCAGACTTGGAGCTCTGAAAAAGGAACCCTATTGAGCCAAAATAAACCACAGGTGTAACGGTATTTACAGTATCGGGATACCTGTGTAGTAGGGAGAGTTCACCATTGTTTGTATGTGTTAGTCCGATTGTGATATTAAAGGACAAGTTAGCACAACAACACAGAGTCTATTAACGACAGTCTAACGTAACATGGTGTCAGAAGTTCTTAACTGGTGGTCTCCAAGATTTACTGGTTTGTAAAAGCGAAATTTCAAGTCTAAACGAGCCGAAGTGTGTTCTTCCTACGAATCGCACGTGGCCGGTCGTCACAGACATTCGCATCAAACTCGGACTCTCGTTGAAACTGGCACAAATAAGCGGCCGAAAACAAGTAAGATTGCGTTTATCTACATTAATTCTAAATATAAGCTATACTGACTTGCTTATATGACTGAAAACGAAAGTCAAGCGAGTACCAGTGATACCAATCCTTC